ACGTGTCAAACCACAGGAAATGCCCACTGTATAATTAGAGCAACCCACTAGAGCATTGTCAGGTTGGGCCATTATAAAAAGGGCTGTCAAAGATCTGCAAATCAAGGTAGACAAAGTGATATAGTCAATACAATTTTTGGAAGGGAGAGTGTATTGCATACACAAACCCTGCATAATTTTGTGATATCATTTTATTACTTCAAAAAAACCTTTTGAAACACGTTGAACATTAAAAAAAGTGAATCTATAGTTAGGGGTGGGCGATATTGAAAATTTTAAAACGATATGATAATATCGATATTTTCATGAATATCGTTTGATATCGATACTAGATTTCGATATTTTCATGACCACGCCCAATAAGTTTCAAGTACCATTTCCAAGAAAAACTATGATTTAGAAAAGCATTATTACTCTCATTTAACCTGTTTTGACTTAGTCTTCATCTGTTACTTCCTCTGTTTTGCAAAAAAGAAGTGTTTGGAGCGGTTTGGAGATACTTCATTACTTAGCGACTGTGGTTAATTGACTATTATTAAGGTTATACAATCATTTTGTGGGCGTGGTCACAGTATCGATATTTCTTTTCAATTTTTTTCGATATCGATACGTATCGATACCGCATTATATCGATAAAATATCATTAATTTCGATATATCGCCCACCCCTATCTATAGTCCATGTCAAAAATTTCAACAGCAAATAACATGAACATGTACTGTACATGTGCAGAGTAAAAGCAAGCAATACCTTTCAGAGAAGAACTCAAACTTGTTGTTCCAGCAGCAACAGACAGTGATGGGGTTAGCAGTATAATGGGATGAATATGAGCTAACGGTATCAGTGTCTGCTGTTGTATTCCTTAGCAACATGTGAAGGGAAGTCAAGAGGTGAGCTGTGCTCTCCTGCAAGGTCTTGGGAAGAACACAATCTACAGAAATAAAAGAAATAAAGTATATTCTTGAGTAATTGTACATTTAAAATTATATGAAGTACTAATTAATTCTCTCATTCTCATACTTTTCAAGTGATAGTTTGCCACATGTAGTAATTTCTTTCTGTCCCAAGGTAGTTCATAACAGACTTCAATGACTGATAATAGGTTCTTCATTCCCAGGAGTCCACAGTTACTCGCTAGCTCCAAGTCAGGGAGAGATAGAACCAGTCTCACATTAGTCTTCAGTCGACTGTAGAAAAAAAGAAATAAAATAAAGATTATTGGTAAAAGCAATAACAATAATAACAAACAACAAACAACAGTAATATATCAATGCATAATAACATACATACATTGTACAA